GTCCCTGTCCCCGGCGCGGCCGGCCCCTCTCGCGCGCCTGGGTCTCTGAATGCGTCTCTCCAACCTGGCCGTCTCTGTCCCGCCGTCTCTCGGCGTGCGGCTGTCCTGCGGCTCCCGCGTCTCTGTTTATCTCTGAGCCCCTGGGCGTCTCTGGCCCACCGCAGTCCTGCATCCGCCCTCCCACCCGGCTGGGCTCAGGCACGAGCGCCGCGCGGGGGGCTGCGGCAGCGCGGGCCGTCGCGGGCGGGGACGGGGGCCTGTGGCTGCGGCTCCAGACCAGAAAGGCCGGCAGCCCCACCCCCCACCCGGGAGCCGGACGGGGGAGGGGGCGGGAGGAAGCCAAAGAGAAGTCGTCGTAATTAGTGAATGTCATAATTAACCCTAATTGTGTATGATTGTTACTCCTGCGGGAGTCACAATGAATAAATTATTTCCCCGCGAAGGCGGGCGGAGCCCAGACTCCTGGTGCTGAAAGGGGTGGGGGGAGCCCGCCTCTCACACCCACCCCCCCGCGGCTCATCTGACGGCTCCCTTCCCAAGTTCTAGGTGCTGGCGACGGACCCGCGGGAAGTTCTATGGGAGCAACCTGTGCGGGCCGGGAACGAGCCAGGAGGGCTGTGCCCGGGCGTCCCTGCCCTCCCCAGACTTCAGGCTGAGACCACCCTCCCTGGCCCTTCCACTCTGGCTCTTGGTTCCCATCCTGCTCCTTCCTGTTACTCAGAGGGGAGCAGTGGGGACCAGAAATGGGTCGGTTCTGGGACTCCCTGGCATCGCAGCTTCCCATAGGTTTCTCACTGACCCTCTTCCTCCTCCTTCCATCTTGGCCACCCCTCGGGTTAATTCAAGGTCAAGGTCATTAAGGGAGTGACCAGGGGTAGATGCCTGGGCCCAGGGTAGAGTCTGGCTGAGGCGCCCCAAGGAGCTCCCCACCCTCAACCAGGGGTCCCTGCGGGGTCTCCCCATCCAAAGATGCACACCTGACCTTCTCTGGCTCCTTCTGAAAACTCGGGGCTCTCAGACCACAGACTCAACTCCCCCTAGAAAGCCAACTCTCTCCTGGGACAGGAGCATAGTGTTGGTGGGAGAGAATCGCTTGGGAAATGTGTGACCGCTTCTGACAAGCACAGTATCCTAGGAGCCGAGCCTCCCCTGAGTTCAGTGCCCCTCACCTTCTCCGCTGCCCTCTAGTCACCCTGGGCAGCCACATACAGTACCACCCTGCTCCCAACACCAAGGCCAGCCTCTCCAGCCCCTCCTAAGGAGCTCCAGAAGGCCGGCAGGCGGCGGGCAGTGCTGTCTCAGCAATCCAGTAGGTTGCAAGCTCAGCGCTGTGGGGAAGGGGAGGCAAAGCCCACACCGCCCTCCTCCCAGCCCAAGGACCCTCCAGTGCTGCCTCCTCTGGGTCTGTGCCATGGAGACCCAAGGAGCAGGGAGCGAGAGGGATTGCCGACCTGGCCTGGCCCTTCTGTGCCCAGCCAGAGGGAGCCTTGCCCCCTGCCCTCCTCTCTACTGCACCTCTCTACTGACCGAGAAAGACCCGGCCCTGACTGCAGAGGCCAGGCTGGGGGCTTCAGCAGGGCAGAGGTGGGCAAAGAAAAGCCCTCAGGGCCCTTGCCAGCCTCTTTCCATCCTCCACCTGGCCCAAAGAAGCTTGTGTCCCCAGACTGTGTGGGGGGTGAGAAGGGAGAGAAGGGGCTGGTTGCTGCCTACTCAGCTCATATGAGGCAGGTACAACAGAGGGGGCGGTTGCCCATCAGGCAGCGAAGCCAGCATTCCGGGCCTGTGCATCAGTGTCTGGTGCCCACCGGGCATTTCTTGCCAGCCCCTGAATCCAGGCTCCTGCTTGCCCCAAGGCCGAGTCTCAGCCCTGCGCCTGGGCCACTTGGCGGGCCTCCAGTGGACCCCCTCCTCTCCAGGTCCCCACCCCATCTGACCACACAGTGCCTGCCCAGCACCTGCTTTGGTTCTGTCCCTGGGAGGACCCCGCCATGCCGGCTTTGCCATCTGAGTCAGCTCGCGCCACGTCCGCCACCACCCACCGCCAGCTGCCTGGTGCTCTTTCAGGAGATGCTGTGGGGAACCGAGGAAAGAAGTGGCCTTCCAGGGTATGAGGAGGAAGGAAGCAGGCCTGGCCTGGGCTCCAGGAGGGGCTCAAAACAGACCTGCTAGTGCAGGCTCCCAGCCAGATGAGCTCGGGAGCACAGGACTGGGGAAGGGACCTTGCCAGCTTGCAAGGGGGCACGGTAGCTTCTCACCAGGCTGGAAGTGGGTCCCAGGGCAGTGGGGGCACCAAAAAGATAACTGGTGGAGAGAGGGAAAATGTCTCTCAGGAACTAGAAGTCCCAGGAGCAGGGATACCTGGGCTGGCTGAGCCAAAATGGGGCTCAGGTAGCCAAGCCAGATGTCTCCAGAGTGGGCAGACATCAGACCATCTGGCAGAGATGCCCTGATCCTGCCCTCCATTCAGTCTTTAACATCTGCTAGCCACTGGGGGTGGCATGTCACTCCTTCCCACTCCTCTGCCCTCCTGGGATCTGGGGCCCACAGCCTTGCCAGAGCGTGGCAGGCAGAGTTGGGGCTGCCCTGGTGTTGGGGAACATTCTGTTCCAAGGCCTCCAGTACCCAGCAGAGGTGGCTCCTGGCACTGAGACGGGGGTGGCGGGGGTGATACCAGGAAAGGGCATAGCCTGGAGAGCCGGGGGACTTGAAACTCATCCTGTGAGGATTACTATGGCACTGATGGCCTCGGGAGGGGAGCATGATTGATGTCTTTGAATACTTGAAGGGCTGATGTGTTGGAGAGGGAGTCACCCTTCCTGGAGTTGAGGGAGGAACAAGGGCCAAGGGCCAACGGCAAAAGTCACAAGGAGGCAGGTTTCAGCTCTATATAGGGAAGCACTTTCCAGCTACCACAGCTGCCCAAAGATGGCACGACTATCCCAAGAGAGGGTGTGCTTCCTGATGCAAGAGGTAGCCAGTGGCATCACCTTCGGGGAGAAGAGGCCAGCGTGTCGCAGGGCAGTGGGGTGTGACTACTCCAAATGGCCTGTCTCCCAGGTCCCCTCTAACCCTAAACTCCACGGTTGACCTGGAGGACGGGCCTATGGCACAGCTGAGGGCAGGGTGAGGCAAGGCAGGGCCCACATGGCAAGGTGCTCCTTGCTGTCTGGCCTCAGTGGCCAGAGCCAAGTCCAGGCTCTGCTACTTAGCTGAGGCCTCGTGGGTAAAAGATGTCATCCCATGAGCCTCAGTTCCTCATCTGAAAAGTGGGACAATCACCATCACCACCTCGGAGGGTAGTGTCAGCATTCCTGAGATGTGCCAGCCCAGCTCCTGTGCTCTGACAGCGACATCCTCTCATAGATGGACATTTCTGATCTTTTAGACCTAGAGCCTTATACTGCTTGGAGAGTGTCTAGTCTTACCTCTTCCCTCATGGATGTGGGGAAACTGAGGCTCAGAGAGAGAAAGTGAAGTGATGTGCTTTCAGGCAGCAGGTTTTGTTTTGCCCCCATGCCCAGCACACCCCATCCCCCCAGAGACTTGGGGTGCTCTATTCCCACGGTCCCTGGGCAGAACAGTGGGCGGTTCACCTGCTTCTCAGGGCCCATCAGAGCCCCCAGAGCCACACTCGACCCTGGATGGCCCACAGCCCAACTTGGGCTGCCATCTGTATCGTCACTCGTTATCTTGCCAGCCCTCCTTGGTGCCGGCACCCAGGCACCTGGGGCTTTGCTCCTCATTGGAAAACAAAGAAGCCCACAGTGCTGTCCAGGAAGCTGGGTTTGGAAGGAGCCAGGCTCCTCGGCATGCCAGACACCCCAGGGCTCTGGCATCCCAGCTGGCACACCAGAGCCTGCCTTGCGTCCAACGCCTCCCCTCTGCCCCCCGGCTGGCCCCTCTGTCTTGCTGCCTGCTGGCCTCCCAGAGGCTGGAGGGGCCACCACTTCCATCCCCTTGGCACTGTCACCAGGCAGGCAGCCATGGCACACGGGCGGCTCGCTGTGCCAGTTGGGAGCCCTGGCCAAGTCTCTGCCTGGAGCCAGGCCTCTGGCCCCTTTTTCTATCTCTGGTAGAGAGGGGTGGGCAGGGGCCAGGCGACTCTCAACAGGAAAGAAGAACAAGACTGGGGGTGAGAAGGTTCCAGCTTCAAGAAGGGTGTGTTTGATGAGCAGTGGAAATAGCTCTGGCCTCACTGCAGAATCAACCCTGCACTTGAGAGCACAGACTCCGTGTAGGAGCTTGCAGTTTACTCACCTGCTTGTCATTTATTCACTCGAGGTTCATCAACTGAACACCTACTATGTGCTGAGCCAGAGTGGGGATTTGAAGTCACTGTGCCTGCCCTCAAGGGACTCACAGGCTACTGAGAAGCAAAGGACACCAGTGACCAGATGGGCGCTGTAGGGGAAGTAGGGGTCAGGTGCAGTGGGCCCCAGGGGAAAGAGTGGGTTCGGGAAACAGAATTCCTGCACAAGAAGTGGAGGAGGGGTGTTGGAAGGACATTGACAGGATAAAGAAGATACTGGCTATGTGTGGTGGCTCACGCTTGTAATTTCAGCTTTTTTTTTTTTTTTTTTTTT